GTTAAAATTTTTAGTTCCGTGGTATACTATTTAAAATAAAAAAGAAATCCTTTCTATTTATTTCTATTTTTAAGTAGAATAAGTCCATTACGAAATGCTACGCTGTATAAATAATTTCAAACTGCTGTTAAATAATTTCAAATACAAGCTCTTATTGCTTTAATCGAACTTCTTTAATAAAGATGCGGGTGCTATCTGAACAACTTTTTTCTTTGTGATTTTTCTAAAATTATTATTATTATTATTTTCTTTTTGCGTCGCTCATTTTTTTGATATAATAAAATTGAAACTTAGAAAGACTATCTAGGTAAAATAAACAAATCACATTGCGCAAAAATGGGGTTGCCGGAAAAAGAGTGAAAAATAGACGCTTTTGTTAATTGGCGAAATTTGATTGCGGATAAGAGTGCTAAATGATGTCTGATTTAGAAAGGTGCTAATCGGTGCATTTTAATAACAATAACAATAAAAAAGCGTTCGGAGGGGATATTTTACCGATAAACTGAAAATGGCAAATACGTTTTACTTAACTTAAATTTCTAATAAATCTTGGAACAATTATATTGCATGGCTGCTGAGTTTACTGATTTTTCTTTCTTTTTCTTGCATTTTTTAGCAATTTTCTTTTTATATTCAATAAAGAAAGAGTTAAGAGAGCAATAATGAAAAAGAGGCGTACTCCTTTATTTAGTTAAGCCAAAAATTATTAGCAGTAGAATTATGTCTTCTGTCGATGAACTAAAGATGAAAAATGTTTTAATTTGTTTATATATTTTACTACTTTTCTAACAATTAAATTTCTAAGCTGCGTTTTTTTACGAGCGAATACCTATGTCTTGATTTTTTACTACTCCGTAGGCAACATGTTCCAGATTGCAAAGCAATTTGAAATTAACTTCGTAAAAAGCTCTGGGGGTTGGCGAGCATTTTTTTACGAAATTTGATGAGTTTATTATTATTTTTGCTGTATGTTTCTGATGGACAAGATAAAGATTTTATTTTCTTAATGATTATTCTGATTCACTAAAACTCAGAGAAAAACTATTTTTTACTTCAAAACTATACATTAGAAATTTCATATTTTAAATCACGTTTTTTTAGCCCTGTCCTCACGGAATAACTGTCGGTAATTTTTCAATATGCACTGCACTGAATCAACTATTAGAAAAAGTATACTTTTGTTGTCTAATTACATAATTAATAGATTTTTATTAAAATCTGTAGAATTTGATTAAAATTGAAAAATACTAGTCTATTTAAAATGTTTTCAACGTTCGAATAGGTGACAAATCACTCTTTTCATTAATTAAACGTAAATAATTTTGTCTGTAACTCGTATAATAATCCTTTAAAAACGTTTATGTTTCAACCCTCAACGCACGGTGATCAAATGGCAGGTGAACAGTGTTTCCTTTAAGCTAACAGATAATCTATACAAAATAGTAAAGAAAATATTAAAACGACAGTAATTTTGCCACTTTACCTCTTGAATGATTATCATAAACTCGTTATACATCAGACTAATATGTACTAAGTCCTAAAGATATTTAAATTATTGAAGTGAATGAATTTTTCAGCATGAAGTCTAAAAGTGAAGTAGACCTCGATTATTTTAAAATAAATTATAGCTACTTTAATTATCTTAAAGAAATTAAAAATATGGGGAAACTGAAAATTTGAAATATCTTTCTGACAAATAACTTTGACATTGATCATCCTTTAAAAAAGCCAATCCTTAAAATAAAATTGAATAATATTGTCTTAAATAAATTTTAAGAGAACTATAATATACAAGACTCTTCTGACTATGAGAGACCTTAAGAACTATGCTTATGAAAAACTCAAATAATTCAACTACTCATTTTTGATAGATAACATAATATGGATGTTAAATAATTAATGCATACATGACTTATTGCAATTGACATTTACTAAAGTAAATAAATATTTTTCTTAACTCACCAAAAATTGAAGAGATGACTAGAGGGAAAGTATTTTTTAGTGATGAGCTCAATCAAAATTCTTTCAAGAAAATGACCAAAAAGTCTCGCTCTTTTTGTTATTTCATTTGAAGTCTAAAGTTGGGCATTTCTGTTGTTTCTTATTAACAATTCGTAAGAAAAAGAGCACCCTAGAGATTTCCACGGGAAAAAATAAGAAATTTGCGTCTAAAATTCGGGCAAAGGACCATATAGGTGCATGCCATGACATAGGAGAAAAAGTAAAATCTCAAAAAAGAGTCCAACAACACTTTTCCTGAATCAAACAGATAAGATCGAGTGACTTTTGAATTTAAGTATTTTCTCATCGGCCAACAAAGGGAGGTATATCACCTCGGTGAGAGATGAGTAAAAGGATGATTTGATAAACAGTTTCTGCCAAAGAAGTATTTAGGCTTTGAAATAAAGTTGTTGTTGTTTTCTTTTAATACCAAGAACAGAAGGTTTTATCGAAACATTCTATTTCTGATAGAACCAAATCGATCAATCAGGTGAGGTGGTTGTTAGTTCCTAGGAACTTACGGTCGTAGGTAATTCTGTAACCTACGACCTCCTAGCTCCCTCTTTGTGGTCAGATGGAACAAAAAGAAAAAAAAGTCACTATTTTCCTTAAAGAAGAGAAAGCTATGTGTAGAATAAAATAAAATTTTATTACAAATCATTCATTAATAATTTTTACCCTAAATAACGATGATTCAAAGCAAAATTAATATCAATTACTTTGTCTTTTTTTTTAAAGTTTATTTCAATAGAAAGTTACCAACTTGGAAGTTACCAGTTGAAAAGGCACTCCGGAATAGGTCCCGGTATCCCGGTAGGCCATTCCATCCCTGAGTGGGCACTCTGTACTCTTAATAAGTAACATAAATTGCTTCAAAATTCACATAATCTATAACAAAAATTCTACACGAAATTTTTTTATAATCAGTGCAGTAAGTAATACTGGTATTTTAATTGACATTTAACGATTCATGAAATCTGTATGTTTATTTCAGCTTTTCAAAACAATAAAATTTGTTTCGATCGGATAAGATTTTTTTTACAACTTGAATATTCAGAGTGAAATATAATTTTAAAAGAGAAAATTACATTCCAATCAGTATAGTCTACAACTGACTCCACAATGTCTTCAGAAGTGTGCAGCATTAAAATATATTATAAATAAAATATTATAAAAGGTATCTGCCTTTTATTGATCTTGACTCACATTGGCCATTTAAATAATAAGTGTAAAGCACTAAAATATATTTACAGATGATTTTAAAAAAATGCTCAAATTGAATCAATAAAATAGACTATAAAAACAAACACTTCAATAACTTTCGACTTAGTAATCGATTTTGCATGGAATTATAACGGCGTGGAATTAAGATGGATTTATAACTGCTCTAAATACTAACCTTAAATGTGCTAATTAGTTGGTACAAGGAATATTATAAGTTAAGAAATCAAATGCAAAAACGTACTTTCATTAATCAATATTTTGTTTTTTAATTTTTTTATAGGCTTAAGATTCTTGATCCACAAAATATGGTGGTTATCTGTAAAAACGAAAAGAAAAAAAAAATTTTTTTTACCAATAATTGAAAATAATCGTTTAAAAATTTTTATTAAAGTGGGGTTGCAAAATGTTAGTATTCCTTCCAAGTGACCCTGTATTTTTGCTGAATAAAAACAGCTTAAATGACTATAATATATGGGACCAAACACCATCCATAATTATTTAATAATTCATGAATACACTAGCTAGAGATAAGGACGATACTTTAAAAAATAAATAGAATTGAATTCGGCTCTTGTTTAGATTAAAAATTGAAAACAATCGTGGTCTGCAAATAAAATATATTGCTTGCATCAAAAGATAACAATAATATATATTTATTTAATCTAGAAATCTTTCAACAGTTATATGTGCAGGAATTTAATGCAGTATTTTAAATGTAGGCCTGGATTTGTGAAAGCATATCATAGCCATAACGAAAAGTTTAAATCTTTGATGTATCTAACAACTAGATCTGTAACTGATATCAAATATAATTCGAAATATCTCTGAGCTATTTTTATGCATCCGAACATTCATATTTTAACCATATTAATAACAAACATCTTAGAGACATCCAAAATACCCATATCCCCAACTTAGAGATATCTCTCTAATATCCTATTATCCAAATCCTTCACACAACATAATCGTTCATCAAAGCTTGTCTGATTAAATCAACGACTTTTCCAATTTATGTTCAAGAAAAAATAGTACCCAGATGAAAAAAGAAAACTGGTTTTCTTTTTATTGAAGTCACTTTGAAAATATTGAAAATTCGTGTTTACGATGTGAAAAGATTTAATTGTACTTAATAATACTATTGTAATTGGGCGCTTTCATTAAAAAAAGTAGATTGAGTGTTCTAGTTGGAAAAAAGCTTATAATTAGGAGGAGTAGATTAAGAGAGGAAATTAAAATTGCAGTTGTGCTGCTTCATTCCTTGCGTTGCCTTATAAATAAATCTCTTAATGCCCTTTTAAGTTCCCTTTCTAAAACTTGTTTTATGCTCTTTCTATTTAACTATTTAAGCCACCTTTTAAAAGTTTTCTCTTACATCAATTTTTTTTGCAGTTTGTAAAGATTTTTTGCTTTATAACACAAAAACTGCACGCAATATCCAATAGAGGGCATACATATATTACATTATAATTATCTTTTTGCAGCAAAATATTAGTTACTTTATTTATCTTAGATTCAGTTAAGCCGCAACTAGTCTTAGAAAATATTAATAAAGCATTTCATCAAGTCAAGTTGAAACCATTATAAGAGTAAACAAAAATTTTAATTAGTGTTCTTGTGTTTTACGTTATAACATATTATTGTAAAATGTGATTTCTTTCTTTTATGTTTGTTGTCCTTTTCTTAGGCACCAAACGGAAATTCAAGCCGTTGTTTCGCTTTGCGATAAAAAATAATCGTCCCTTTGCAATCCTAAATACGATATTCCGTCGCTTTCAAACGGATATACGAGCCGGACGTAAAAGCTTCCTTTACTGACCCCTACTCAGCGTGATTCTAAATTTCTTGGCTGCCAAGCAACAAATATGTTCCGTTTAATTTTATCGTCTAAACAAAAAACAATTGCATACTGTTTTGAAAGCTATGAGTTCTGTTAAAATAAAAGTCTAGATTTGGTCAACTCAGAATTAGGCAGTATGAGCGAGAGCTCGAAAAAATTATGTGCAGACTGTGGTAAGACAATGATTGGCGAAAAAGAATTGAGTTTGATGCAAGAAGTGTTATTTCAGCCATTTATTCATAGTGGAGAGTTGGTGCTGGAAGTTGAGTGTGGATCAAATGTAGGATGGTTATTTATTTCTCGATTGTGCCAAGGATCGAAAGGTGCTTCTATTTGGTTTCAAAATGTTTGGCTTACGCCGAATGAATTTCAATACATAAGTGGCCGAGAGACTGCTAAAGATTGGAAACGTAGTATACGACACAGAGGAAGAAGTTTAAAGTTGTTAATGGCGAAAGGATTTTTCGATTTTCATCCTTCAATATGCGTTTGCAAAGGCATGGTTACCAAAGTGGTAAGCAAAATTTGATTCCATCTTTCGTGCTCAGTTTTTATATAATACTATTTCTAAATTATGTTGTGAAAATCAATAAAGATTCTTTTAAGCCGCAAAACAAAAATTTGGACTGATATCACAGATCTACGATTTAATGTCTGAAATAATGAGACTGATTTGGTTTAGGTTCTAATTTCAAACATTCAAAATAGCTTCTTTTTTCTAACAGCTCTTCTTTTGCGGTTTCAGTAAAGTTAGTGCTAAGAAATATGGGATTTTTCACAATTTTTTTTCTAAATTCCTGCATTGTTCACAACCTTAAGATTGATGTTGATTCAATTTTGCATACTGATTTAAAATAGGAAAGGGCATTTTATGTATTTTTCTAATTTTAGAGATTTAATGCTACTAAGTTGAATACACTAAATCGTCAGTCAACTTACAGAGTGAATTGAAATATTTTTCTTTTCATACTATTACAATTACGCATTTCGCTTAAACAATGATAATTTCACGCAAAAATAAATTTTGATAATTATTTATTATAGTTTATTATTTAATTTAATAAAAATAAGAGCAATTTTGAATTACAAACTATGCAATTTCAAACTATGAAAGTTTAAATTTTACATAACTTTAAATTTTATGAAATTTTAAAATTAAAGCAAGCAATCGAATGATCGAATTTTTACGTAGTAAAACTCCTTCATTTCATAACCGTCATTGACTAGCCGAATCAATTTTGAGTTTACGACTACTAATGCTTTACTCCATAGCCTTGTAATTTTGAACCCAATCTAGAAGATAAGGCAATTCCTGGATCAGTATTGAGAGAAATGTTGCAATTGTGGAGGACTTTTTGAGGCAACTAACCCACATTTGCTTTCCATGGAGAGGAAGACAACAAAAACCTCCCACGGTTAGCCTGACTGTAAGCCACTGAGAATATTTTACGTCAGCACTGTGGTCGGTGCTAGTCGGGTGTGGAATTCGTATCAACCAGCAGTCGCTGGGATTCGAACCCGGTGATCCTTATTGGAAGGAGAACGCTTTATCCCCTGAGCTACCACTGCTCAAAAATGCTTTGCATCGGCCGGGAATCGAAACCGGTTCGTCCTCGTCGCAAGCGAGCATTCTACCACTGAACCACCGATGCGTGTACTGAGACTCCGTAAAAGTTCGAGGGTCTGAGTCATGGCGTACTACTATTTGAGAGACCAGTATAAAAGATCAATCTCAAATAGTTGCACGCCATGCTACTATTTGAGAGAACAGTATAATAGATCAATCTCAAATAGTTGCACGCCATGCTACTATTTGAGAGAACAGTATAATAGATCAAACTCAAATAGTTGCACGCCATGCTACTACTTGAGAGAACAGTATAATAGATCAATCTAAAATAGTTGCACGCCATAGTCTAAATAGTGAGAAAGCTGCTTTATGTTACGAAACGAAATCGGACGCAAAGAAGAAGAAAAAACTTTCGGTGAATAAACGTAATTTTTTTCCCGACGGATTTGGATTCTTGGCTCTTTAAAGTAAGAAGTGGGGGTAACTACAATCTAAAAAATATGGTCAAATAGTTTAGGTAGGAGAGCAAACGATAGTTAGAACCCTTTAATTTTAATTTCATTTTTTGTATATCATAGAAGTTGTATTTCTAAATTTTTATTTCTCAAAAACTATTCGACTCTTTAAATTTTGGATTTTGTTAATTAAAATCACGTAGATTGAATTTGTATAAAAATTTATCTACTTGACAATTCAAAATTGTTACGATCATAAGTAAATTAAATAATAAAAAATAATAATAATAAAGAATTGTAAGAAACAATTTTTTGCTTAGAATTATCTTAAGTTAACTAAGCTTTATAACTGTGTGCAAGACTATTTTTGTTTCGTTTCTCACTTGACTCATTATTAAAATATTATTTTTTTAGAATTCGATTATCCCTTGTATTTTGAGGGTTAAGAATCTACATACATCGAAAAAAAATATGATTATTCATAGGTGTATGATTGTTTTTGCGTATGATTGATTTTGTGTATGATTTCATAACTATAATATTTTCTGCACCAATTAGCACATTTATAAAGTTATGCTCTCAAACCATAAAGTTCTAGTACGTAATTAGATTTTTACAAAAACCAACTACAATGTTCGCTTTGTGTTCTTCAAGTGTACACAGATTTTTCACGAGTTGCGAAAAATTGCGCAAACTAACTTCGATTAATTGTTTTTATATTTTCTTACTATACTCATACAGTACTTCACCAATTAGGGGTAGTTACGAATTCTTTAGAACAACTTTTACTGTCTTTTTTTTTTGTAAAAAAAAAAGAAGAAGAAGGAAACACTCGCTTATTGTTGCGCATTCTTATTTTTTCTTTAAAAAAATCATATTTGAACCAAAGAAATACTTTGAAACTATAGCGTAATGGAGTTCATTGAGTTCATAATACTAAAATGCGGCCGAAACGAGTTTTAGATCGAAGTTGAGGTAAATAATTTTCCACTCTTCCAAAAAAAAAAACGATAAACAGATTATCTCTTATTCATTGATCAAGTATTTATTTCTTAAGAGATTGATGATAAGTCATTAGAAAGCGTTCACTTTCTCCAAAATCACGATTTCGGTGGCCAAAAAATAGAAGCAATCCCGGAGTGTTGTTTCACAAGTAAGAATAAATGATCGGTTTACATCCCTGTAGTTGAGATCTATTATTTTTCCTCAATTTCAGTTGTCAGTTAGCACAAAATATGGTATATATCGTCTAAGAATTAAGATTGAAAAAAAATGAGCTTTTAGTTGTAAGTACTATATTTACTTATTAAAAAAATCCACACAGGTTTTGTTGTTTCATTGAATTCCAACATATCCCAAGATCGACTGTAAAATATCGTTTAGTCTCAGTTTTTTGACAAGTGTTTAATTTGAATTTATGGATCATGGAGACGTTTTCACCTTAACTTCGATTAGTTACATGGAAATTATAGGCTACTGTTTGCATGTTACGCGGTGTTAACTTACCTTTAGGGAAATTTCAAAATGAATTTCTGATGCTGTGGTTATATAATTTGGAAGCGCGTGATTGGGAACAGGTGCTGGAAAATTACCCGCATTATCAAAATAATATTAATCTTTACATATATACTTTGAAAATAAATAGGAATTTGAGTATGTGTAACTTCCTATTCTTGTTAGGAAAAAATAATAGTAATAGGCCAAATAAAAATATGAATAATAGATCAATATAAAATCATAATAATAATATTTTGATATTTCTGAAAAAAAGTTTATGGAATACATTTTATTTAATTTAGAGAATGTTAAAAAACAAAACTTTTAATGCAAAAAATATTTTAATGTAAAGAAATTAAACTAACTCAAATTTTAGAACAGCTATTGAGACATAATAGAATTCAAGGAAACAATAAACAAATACACGTTTTTAATAAATGAATATAACAATATGTCTGCATGCTCGCCATTTACTGTATGTATGTAATTACGCTGCGTTAAATTACCTGAACAGAAAGTTCAACATTTATTTCAGATGTTGCAATTATATAATTTAGAAGCACGCTATTGCGAAACAGGCGCTATAAAATTACCCGTTGCATCAAAAAATATTAATTATCAGTATTATTATAATCATTAATTGAAATTGAATCCAATTATAGCTATACTGAATCTAATAAATATTTTACTCTATTTGAATATTGCAAGCATGAATTGATATATTTTAATCAAGCATTAACTCCAAAATAAGAATTTATTTTTGCACAGTTTCATGAATCCTCGAGAGTTTTTTGACTACAGAATAGTAATAATCGCGGTGCACTGTAAAAAATTCTTAATCAAATTACGGTAAAAAGTACCGGCACTCAGGGTGCCAGTATTTTTTTTATTTAGCTAAAAAAGTACGTGGAAAGCATTACTTTGTGTAATAACAATAAAAGACGTGTAAATTGGTTATAAGTGAAAAATTGCACCGTTTTTTCATAAAATAACTACTAAACTATTACTTTTGTCGAGTGAGTTTGATTTAATTTGATACAGCGTACATAAAGCAATATATGAGAAATAATACCTCAGTTATCTAAACTACAATGCTTATGGCTATGCTTTAACTCTATTCCTCACCATAGATTCAATATGGAGTCTAAAGTTAACTTCGGAGGAAGAAGCAAATTGCAAATATCCATGCCATCATAATTTTTGAGAGGACACTTCCTCAATTTAGACATAGATCTGAAGGGGAAAGAAATTTTCGCCAGATATCTGTACCCATAGTACCGGTCAGCGACCAACCACAGGACTTTTAATTGCACAGATTTTACGAGAGCATATATCGCATTTACTCGGCGGGTCTTAGCAGAGTCGGGGATCGAACCCCGGCCAAATCGGACCAGAATTCGATTATCTAACAACTGAGCTACCACGGCCTAAATATTTCCATATTGAACTTTTTAGAAATTGAGCTAGTACCAATTTATAAATTTTTTTTTATCATTTATTAGCAAAGAGATTATAAAAGTTCCTTGCCATGTTTTTTAAAATTGAACAGTTTTGAAGTGTGTTAACTTTACTAGACTAAATGTTAATTTAGTTTACATACTCGACTAAATGCTAATTTTTCGCCTTTTATTTTCGTTTTTTTTTTTAATTGTATGACATAAATTTGATTTTTAGCGCTTAATTTGAAAACAAATTTCTTCACACGTGCTTCACGGATAAATCTCCATAATCAAAATATTTAGTCTCTCTCCAATCAGAGAAACTTCAATACCATTTTTCGGTTGTTTGAAAACATGATATAACTATTATAAAAATTATTTAATTGCAAAAAAATTTTAAATAAAGCAAGCAGTTAAACTGTTCGAAGAGATTCAACTTAGCTATTTTTTTTAATGAAATAAAACAATTTATCCTCTTAAAATTTCAATTACCATTGTGAAGCAAAAGCTCCACCTGCATTTGTAATACTTTTTTCTCATTACTTTTCTCTAA